TAATACTGTGCTATTAGAAATATGAAGGGGACAGCTTCAGTCAAACCTAGGATGATTTATATGAACTGAAACAAAACAAAGTGACCAGCACTAAAACAAATTAATATAATAAAATAATATAAAGACAAACAACTTTGAAAGACTTAGTAACTCTAATCAAACCAATGACCAATCAAAATTCCAGAGGACTCATGAAGAAAAATGTCATCCACCTCCAGACAGAGAGATTTAGAGTGCAGACTGAAACTTTTTTTTTTTTTGCCATTTGGCCATGCAAGAATTTGTTTTGCTCAGCCATACTTGTTTGTAATGGTGATTTTGTTTTCTTGTTTTCTTGTAAGGTTTGGAAGTAGGGAAGTGGGAGGAAGAAAGGCAGATTTCTACTGATTTAAAAAAGAAAATTTAATTACAACAAAATTAATAATTAGAACCAAGGGACCAAGTAAGCAAGGATAACCCCACCATATTCAAAGTTGTGGTTTCTTCCTGGCACATCACCTCTGGCTTTTGAGTCAGAAATTCTAGCTAGCTGTTTTGCATTAAAGCAGGTCACCCCAGCCAAGTTTCAAGCTGATGGTTTCAAAGACAGATGGCGTTCTGGCATGAAAGGACAGGTGGAACTGGAATACACTTTAGAAAAAGGCAATTAAAGATAAAAAATTGGTATCTTTTGGACACCCCCTCCCCCCAGGCCCAGAACCCCCTATCGTATCATCCCATTAGCCCATAGAAACACCCCCAAGATTTGGGCAACTTGCCCTTCAAGACTTAGAAGGAGATACAGAGCTAAGGAAGTGTTGGGGAATTCTTCATTCTGGCTTGACCTAGAGCAGCTGCTTCAACCAAACCCTCCTTACTTCCTTACCTCAGTAGCAGGGGGGGACTCATAAGCAAGTGCCTTCCTGGAGCTGACAAGAAGACTGTCTCTCCCATTCTCCCAAAGAAGGGCTCAGACATCTACCCTATAAATGGCAACCCTTAAGATTTTATAGTCTTCTAGGAGACAATGAGAAGGAAAGGATTATCAGAAATAGACTGTTTAAGTGTTAAGGTGATACCTTAACCTTAATCCTCTTACACTCCATTTTTTAAAAAATCCTTTAAAAGCAGATTCTAGGAATTTCAGGCACCCCAACAGGGCAGTGGTAAAGATAGCTTGGTTGAAGAGAAGGCAGAGGGCTTTTCAATTTCTTACAGGCTCATAGGCAGCTATCCACTAGATCTATGGGTCACCAGAATAATAATAAAGATAGCTAGCATTTATGTAGTGTTTTAAGGTTTGCAAAGCACTTTAATAATACTATTAATAACAGCACCAGGCATTATGCTTAGTACTTTACAATTATTATCTCACTTGATTCAACAACCCTGGAAGGTTTGGGGGGTTTTCCCTGATTTTATTATCCCCATTTTACACATAAGGAAAACTAAAGCACCCAAAGGTTAGGTGACTTGCTCAGAGTCATATAGCAAATGTCCATGTCTAGATTTGAACTCAGATCTTCTTGACTCTAGGTCTATCATTCTATCCACTATATCACCCTCAAAAGGTATGGGCAAAGCCATCCCTAATAGTATCACTAATTATGCATAAGTCATCTTGTATAAGCCACCTCCCTTCCATAAACATACACACACACACACACACACACACACACACACACACAGAGCCACACAGCCCTGCCTCCACCATTTTTCCTCAGGTGAAAATGGGCTTAGATTCCTCATCTGTAAAATCAGGAGTCTGGTGATATCCAAGGTTTCTCCAGATCTATAGCCTATGATTCCATAATCACAGTTCCTGAGAGACAGCTATAGTTGTGGGACCTTTGGAGAAATGGGGCAGAGTGACTTATATACTGACATTCCTAAATACTGTCTTCGTTTTTTTGTTTGTTGTTTTTTTAAAAAAAAATTTGTAGGCAATTGGGTTTAAGTGACTTGCCCAGGCTCACACAGCTTTTTGTTTGTTTTTAAACTGCAATGGAATGACTAGGGTCTTTTTTGGCCTTTCACACAAACAGATGATAAATTATGGCTTGATATCAATCAAGTATGGAAACCCAACCTACTACAAGACAGGTTTATGATGACACTATATTTGCTTTAAGCAATAGACAGACAATAGGCTTAATCGAGAACAATATTCTCTTGTCACATTCTTTTGAAGTAGTCACCACTTGAGAAATTGACACCATAAGCAATGATGGCCTTCAGTATCACCACACTTGGATGTCACTAATTTAGCTTTTTGGAACATATTCTATATTTGTGAACAGGGAAGGCACTAGATTTCCAACTCTGTATGGCTCATTAAAAAGCAAGGTGTAAACAAAATAGGACTTCATCTATTGCTGAATGGATGAATAAATTGTGGTAAATTAATGTAATGGAATATTATTAACCCATAAAAAATAATGAATATAAGAATTCAGAGAAACACAGAAAAACTTATAGGTACCAATGCAGAATGAAGAAAACAAAACCAAGACTATATTACATAATGACAGCAACAATGTAAATAAAAACAGAACTAAAAGGCTATCAAATTCATATTAATTGTGTTGCCCAATCTTGGTCTCAGAGAACAGATAATGGATGGATGATTGTCTCTTTCCAGCAAAAAGGTAGGGAGCTTTAAGGTGGGATTGATACATATGCTGTCAGATAAGGTCATCTGTTGATTGATTATTGCTTTATTATTTCTTAGAGGAGAGGATTCAATGGGTAGAAATGATGAGAAATTACTAAAATGTAAAAAAAAAAGAAAAAGAGAATAAAAAAATTCTAACTTCTAGAAATGTTGCTTGCTTCATGGAGGATAAAAACTGAGTTCATTAGACACTAACTGCCTTGACTACTGGGGATGCTAAGGTAAACTATGACAAAGATTCTGCCTCCAAGTAGCTCATACTCTAATGGATGAAATGACATAAATAATTATGATAGAAGGCAGAATGTGATAAGTGCACAAAGGTACAATTATGAACTGTGCCAAAGGTAAGGTACAGTCCTGCAGGGGTGGGGAGTCTGCAGCCTCGAGGCCACATGTGACCTTCTAGGCCCTCAAGTGAGGCCCTTTGACAAATCCAAACTTCACAGAACAAATCTCTTAATAAAAGGACTTGGACTCAGTCAAAAGGCCATAGCCAAGGACCTAGAAGGCCACAGGTTCCCCACCCCTGGCTCAGAAATATAATTATTTAGAGAGATAGTGAGTATGGATATAACAAGCAATTGATGAAGAAGATTTTTGACTCAAGTTGGTCTGAAATGGAAAACTTGGCAATCTTCCAAACCTAAATTTTAATGTTTGGACATATTCCACTGAAAAAATGCCCACATTGGTCTTCCATAAACTAAGGGAAAACAAAAGCTACTAAGATGAGATTCTGAGCAAGTCCTTTAATCTGTGCCTCGTTTTCTCCATTCATAAAATAAGACGTTGGATTCAATGGCCTCTAAGGCCATTTCTAGCTCCAAATCTTTGATCCTAGAGAATTTTATCCTTTTCTTAATTCAAACATTTACTGTAAGAGAAGGAAGGGGGTATTTCATTAAACCACTGGGCAACAACTCAGTTTGACAAAAAGGCTAGCCTTCTGATATGGAAAGACTACAAAAGGCGGACAACATGATACTTTGAACAAAGGCAGGGTTATGCTTGGACTTCCACATATTCAGGAGCAAACAAGAGTTTAAGGGATTTATTGAGTGAAATTAACCTGAGATATAGACTCATATAATGGTAGTGCTAGTAGGGGCCTTAGAATTCTTCCAATCCCCTCACTCCACAGATGAGGAAACTTAAGTTCATTTACATCACTTAAGCATTTTGTTTCACATCACACAATGAATTCATGAAGGCTAGAACTAGACTAAACCCAAAACTAGGCTCCAGATCTCTTAACTGAGTAGAATCCAGAACTCTATCCCAGTAAACCACACTGCCTCTAAGTTAGATTCTCCTAAAATAAATAGATTGTGAAGCCAGGCTTATAAACCGAGGGGAATGGAGGTCTCTGGTGTTAACTATCTGTGTGGCTTTGGGTAAATCCAATGACTTCTCTGGGCCTCATTTTCCTAATCTGCAAAATGAGAGCATTAGACTGATAGCTCCCTGTTCTAGATTTATGGTCCTATCCGTTAGGTCCCAACTTCATTTTTGGGGAAAATCTGAATAGAGGAAAGATTTCCTGAAAGCAAGGGTTGGAAGGACCACAGGCTGCTAAGGAGCAATGTGGACTAACTACCCTGCTGATCTTTAAAAGGGAGAGGGGAGAGGGAAGATGGGGGACAGAAAGAGGGAAGGAAGAATGGAGGGGGAGGGAGAGGGAGAGGGAGGGGAAGAAGAAGAGGGAGACAGAGAGAGAGAGAGAGAGAGAGACACACACACACACACACACACACACACACACACAGAGACACAAAGAGACAGAGAGAGACAGAGAGAGACAGATTTTCATCTGTTCTATTTGGGGGTAGTTTGCATAATCTTGTCCAAAGGTTAATCTGTTGATATCCCATCACTTCTCAATGTGTCTTTTAGCCTTAGGATTCTCTGATAATGAGTTAAAATTTGGTGGCCTATTTGGAGCAAAGTAACAAACCATGCTGATTATCTTGTCTATTTGCACTTTGTCACTTGGTGGTCATCAAAAATATTTCACATCCTTCCACAGCCTCAATTCTCTTAGCTGTGGAATTTGGAGGAGGGGAGACAGTAGATGAAAGAAAAGAAAATGGAGTAATAGAACTCTTGAGCTCTAATGAGGGAGGGGAAGGACAGAGGATCTTACAGGATGCTCAGTCCTTAGAAGCTGCTTCAAAGTGTTCCAATTCTCTATTAATGTTTGTGGACAGATATGATTTTATGCATATAATTAAATACCAATTTCTCAAAGTTGTACCATAATGATATCAAATAATTAGCTGCTCATTGTACTCATTTTCATCCAAAAAAGGCATTGAGGCAAGAAAAGTAAAGGGATGCTACTCACAGTCTGGGAAAAGACAGAGAAGTTCAGCAGTCAGTTGCTTCCTTCCCCTTCACCTCTTATCACCTCTTGTTTGGAGTGAACAACCAGAAATTTTGTTTCTTGAAGCCATCTCTCCTGCTCTGAAGGCAGTTCCTGGTCTGATCTGAGCTGTCCAGACAAAAGTACTACACCAGGTCAAGCAGGCACACACATGTGGGCATACACAGCTGTATCTTGATGGACTGGTATTCCTTGGGAATGATTCTAGTAGCAGGGGAATGAGGAAGGCGGGGCCTGGGGTGTCAAATAGTGGGTGACTCACACACTAGGTGATGAACACAGACTCTCACAGAAATTACAGGTTTCCTTCTTTGGCAAGGGGCCCAGAAGTGGTAGTGACAGGATCCATAATATTTGGCAAGCTGTCATCAGCCCTGGCAGAAATTGTCATCAGCCTAAGAAGAGTGGTTAAGTGTCTGAGCAGGAGTCAGAAGTTCCAAATTTCTCCAGAGTGGTTCTGTCTAGCGTTTATGCATTCAATACTTATTAAGCACCTACTCTGTACCAGGCCCTGTGTTAGGTACTGGGAAAGTCCTTGACCTTAAGGAACTGCCTTGATTGAGGACAGAGTGAATGCAGACTTACCTACTATACTATATCTAACTGGTCCCATACACCTAGATGGGACTTTCAGATTCTCATCCCATCCATCTATCCCACCCAGGCCTTTCCCTCTGCCTCACTCCCCACCTCCACCTAGGCCAATGTCCTCCCCATCTTTTCTACTTTTTGCTCAGGACATAGTAAGCAAATCAGTTGGTTCTGGTGAGAACATATCAACTAACTGCCCTGTGGATCAACCCACCATAGCTAAGGCTCTTCCAGACACTCCCTTTGTCTGGCTACCACATCTCCTTATCCTGTTAGAATATAAGCTCCTTGAGGGTAGGACTATAGCACCCTTCTCTGTTTGTATCCCCAGTGCTTAGCACAGTGTCTGGCATAATATACATTAAATGTATATGTAATGCACACTTTTGCATTCAAAATTGTTACTGGAAAAGCAGTCTTAGTATTATTCTTGACTCTTTACTCTCTCTCATCCCACACATTCAACAGGTCGCCAAATCTTGTCATTTCTATCTCCACAGTATATTTTGCAACCATCTCTTCTCTACACTCATAACTGAGACATGGGAAAGACGTTAGCTTAAAAAGGCCAAGGTCTCCCACTGCAACCAGGGCCATTACCAGTTGTCCTAACCTCTGTCTTGCCACAAGAGCCCAATGACTTTGGAAGAGAGTGTAAGACTGACGATTTGCAGAGCTCTGCCTTACTTAAATCCAAATCACTTGCAAATCAATACATCACCCTCTTGATATTATTGGTCCTCTTCAACAATAACGACAAACAATACTTACGTAGCTACAGTCCAAATTCAGGCCCTAATCACCTCACCCCTGAATTTCAACAACCTATTAATGGGTCGCCCTGCTTAACACTCAAGGATGGCTGCAGACCAAAGGAGATTCTTTGGGTTTATGCTGTATTCCTAAAGATCCTTCCTTGTACTCCATGGTTTCTGATGGAGGCAGCTTCAGTAGCCCATACTTAATAGTGAATTTTTTGGTAACATAGTGGAACAAGCACTGGTTATGAATATGAGTTCAAATCTGGCTTTAGGCACTTTCTAGCAGTATGGCCATAGGCCAGTCACTTAAACTCTGTTTGCCTCAGTTTCCTCAACTATAAAATGGGGACAATAATAGCACCAACCTTCCAGAATTGTTTTATGAGGACCAAATGAGATAATATTAGTAAAGTGGTTAGCAACAGTGTCTGGCTAGCTGTAATAATAATAATAATAATAATAATAGTTACAATAATGATTATTATCATTATCAAAGCAAGCTTCTTTACCTGAGGAGCCTGTAAATTTATTTTTAATATATTTTGATAACTATTTCAATGACATTAGTTTCTATTTTAATTTGTGCATTTACAAATATTATTCTGAGGAGAGGTCCATAGATTTCACCAGATTGCCAAAGGGAGTTCTGATACTAGCTGTATGATCTTAGATAAATTACTTTCCCTCTCTGGTCTTCTTTGTCCTAATTTGAAGGATGGGGATGATAACAATATCTTTTCTACTTTCCTCATACGGGCAGCTAGATGGCATAATGGTTAGAATGCCAGTCCTGGAGTCAGAAAGACATGACTTACTAGCTGTGTGATCTTGGGCAAGTCACTTAACCCAATTTGCCTCAGTTTCTTCATCTGTAAAATGATCTGGAGAAGGAAATGGCAAACCACTCCAGTATCTTTGCCAAGGAAATCCCAAATTGGGTCACAAAGAGTTGGACACAATTGAACAATAACAAAAACAACCTTCCTCATAGGATTTTTTTTTGAGGAAAAAGCCAAGTAAATCTTAAAATACCATTGAAACATGACTTGTAGCTTCACTCTGTAGTCAGTTCTGCCCTTAAAAGGATTAGTTTCTAGTAAGCAGTTGAAATCTGCTCCTCTGTTTTCAAGATTCTTGTTCGTCACCTCTCTTTTTAATACCTTGACCCCTTGGAATAAATCTAAATTTCTCTTTAGTTCAGCCTTAATGACTAAATGGACTTTTAGACTCTAAGATATGATCTTCAATAGGTCTACTATTATCTTTTTCTTAGAATGTTATAATCTGTCAGAAAATTAGACACCCTGATTCCTTTAAAAAGCCCATTTATTGCATTTAACTTTGATAGTGAATTCCTTTGGGGAGAGGGGTGGAATATTTCCTCTTAATTGTTCTAATTGCTCTAATTGTATCCACCAGCTCCACTTAAGCCAATCATTTCTTTTCTGTTTTAAGGGATTAACCCGTTCCCTGGACCCTCTGATGATTTTACTACTGACTTTCCCTTTTCCGCTTCTGAAAAATGCTACCGTTTTCTTTGTCTGTTCTTGTCACTACCTTATGTAAGGACTTTTTTTCAATATTCAAATGGAAGCAAAAGAACACCTACCTAGAAGTCAAGTGATATGATTTGTAGCCTTATATTTCCACCAATAACTTGTTGAATTATTTCAGTCAAATTGTTTTCCCTCTCTGGGACTTAGTTTCCTCATCTGACAAATGAGAGGGTTGGCCTAAATTATAACAATAATAGCTACCATTTATATAGAACTTTAAAGTTTGCAAAGCTCTTTACAAATATTATCTCATTTTATTCTCTTGGTAAAGTGGAGGAAAGAACGACTTTCAATTTCCTTCAATTTAACAGGCACTTAGGCAGCTTACCAACTGGGCCTATGGGCCACAAGAATAATAACAGCTAGCATCTACAGAGCACTTTGAGGTTTACAAAGCACCTTGCAAATGTTATCTTATTTGATCCTTACCACAACCCTCGGAATCAGGTGCTATTATTACCCCCATTTTACAAATGAGGAAACTGAGACAGACACAAGTTAAGTGACTTGCCCAGGGTCACATAGCTAGTAAGTGTCTGAGGCAGGATTTGAATTCAGGTCTTCCTGACTCCAGGTCTAAGATTCTATTTGTTGTGCCACCCAGCTGCCTCTAGCTTTTTATATTCTACCTCCTTCCCAGACCTAAAATTCCTATGATTCTGACTTGATTTTCTGCCCATCTTCCTGAGGTAATGTGAACCGCACAAGCTAGTATGGACCGAGATATTACCTAATCCAATTCCTCTTGGCAAATTTCCCCCTATTTAACATACGAGGCCAATGAGGATTTATAATCAGGTCTTCAGATTCCAGACCTAACATTTTTTCTATGGTACCTGTCCACAATCAGTTCTAATGCCAGCATTGCCCAAGGATCACTACATGAGCTTGGCACAATACTGAATAGACTGTTAATCCTCTCACATGCTCACACAAGACACATTTTCTGTCAAAAAGAAGACTTGAGATGGTTTTTATTTAGAAGGGAGGCAATGCTTCTGGGGGCACTCACACTTCGTTGTACATACAACCTCAAGGAGACAGAAAGACTATAAGTCTATAATCAGCTATTCACTGGTTACCAGGGCCTCCCGCAGCTTCAGTTATCCAGCCCCCAAAACAATAATAATCATAGTAGTAATAATAATAATGTAGTGGTGGTGGGTGGTGGTGGTGGTGATAGTAGTGGTATTAGCAGCAGCAGCAGCAGCAGCAGCAGCAGTAGTAGTAGTAGTAGTAGTAGTAGTAGTAGTAGTAGTAGTAGTAGTAATAGTAGTAGTGACGGGGTACTTGTGTTTGGGTGCTTGTACTTGGACCCCAATTTCTCCCTAGGCTCAGAAACACTGTCCCTTGATAATCATTTAAGATCAATTGAGCCCCAGTAAGGGCTAAAAAACCTAAATTAAGCTTTTTCTCTCTGAGTGAACTAAAAACACCCCTTCCTGTGTCAGCAAATTCCAGGACCAGATAGAGCTGATCAGTATTCTTCCTGTTTGCTATCACTGGGCCCAGGATGTCTGGGACCAGATACTCTCTTGAATAATGGGACTTTTCTTATCTTGAGTTTCAATTGAGAACTGACCACTCCTTAACCACTCCCGAATCCCACCCTGAATCCCCTAGTTAGCATATTTGACATATGTTTTATTGCATTTTATCCTATATAAACTTTACGTGTACCTCTCTAAGTTTGCAGGATTCTTTAAGAATCCTTGCCCGCTGAAAATAAATCTTTGCCACCTTGAATTAAAGAATGCTTGAGTCCGTGAATTCATTCCAAACAACCCGTCCTGTACTCTGGTCTTTCAGGGGTCACAACCTCTCAATCTCTTAGCCCGCAACAGTAGTAGTAGTAGTAGTAGTAGTAGTAGTAGTAGTAGTAGTAGTAGTAGTAGTAGTAGTAGTAGTAGTGGTGGTGGTGGTGGTGGTAGTAGTAGTAGTAGTAGTGGCAGTAGTAGTAGTAGTGATGGGGTGTGGCCCAAGCCAAGGTCTTCGCCCCTTGACCCAAAGGGAATCTGGCTCCCCTTTGTCTACAGGCCCCAGCCCCTCATCTCCCTTTGAAAGCCTTAGCCTACCTTTTAATCTTATTCAGATGCGCCTTTGCCCCTGCCCTAAAAAGGAATCTGGCTCCCATTTTAGTTCCTGATCAACTCCCCTCATCAACTCCCCTTATTTCCCTTTGAAAGCCCTAGCCCCACCCTTTTCATCTCATTCAGATGCCTTTCAGTTCCTTCATTATCTATTCCCATTGTCTATTCAATCTCTTAGACAATCCAATTGAATTCTCACCCAGAACCTCCTCTGGTCCCCATTCAGATGCTGAGAATCTCATGCCCAAAAGTCTGAGACTTTCTCATGCACGCTCATCCTCATGGGCATTACCTGGCCTATGTGATTTATCATTAATAAACTTTTCCTCTGGCTGGAAGAAGATTTGAGTTGAATTCTTTCAGACAGGGCCTGGTGTTGCAATCTTGGGGGTCCCAGCACCCCAAAACTCCTAGACCTCTTCAGTAGTAGTGTCAGATTGTGACATATCAGGGATAAAAGCTGGGTTCAAATCCTACCTTTGATATATACTGGCTATGTAACCCTAGGCTTAATATTTAATCTCTCAATTCTCAGAGGCAAGGGTATCCTACCTTTCTGTGTCCTAGACCCCTTTGGCAATGTGATGAAGGCTATGGATCCTTTTTCAGAATATTTTTTTTAAATTCACAGTTAAAGTTGATACTAAATTTCCATTAAAGTTTGCAGGGGTGTGTCGGAGCCAGTTTATCTGGGCTCCTGAGAGCAGATTGTTAAATTTTCAGTGTGAGCATTTACACTCCAGAAATCTACAAATGTTAAAAATTGGGGTTTGGTTTATTGTTTTGTTGATTATCTAAATTTAAGAAAGTTGTGAAGGAAATGCTACTAATGCAGATTAAATTTTAAAGTGTGTCACACAGTTTCAGAGAGATGGTTGTTAAACATCTATTCCCCTGGAGGTTCGTGAAAAGTCAAATGTAATTTTTTTTTCCACCCAAGTTCATAGATCCTTCAAAATTTATCCAGAAACCCCTTAGGAGTCCATGCACTCCAAGTTAAGGACCCCTACTCTAAGACTACAAGTTTCAGAGAAAAGGCTGATCTGTATTGGTGGAGTTAGTTTCAACAAGCAGAAATTTCCCAAACCAATGAAATAATAAGTCTAGTACCTATCTCCTAATAATATCTCACATTTCTATAACTGCAAAACATAATGAATTGTCCTTTATAAATCCTCATTCTTCTGGACCACTCTGCAAGCACCCGATACCCTTTACTCCTATATGGACTCTCCTTGCTGGGTTTTCCTGACACTACTTCCACTCTCTTACCTGTCTGGTTGCTCCTCCTCAGTCTCCTTTGTGGGACCATCACCCATGCCCTGCCCCTAATTATAACCCAAAGCTGTGTCCTGGGGCCTCTTCTTTTCTCTTTCTAGATTTCCCCTCTCTGTGACATCATCAGCTCCCATGGGTTCAATTATCAACTCTATGTAGATGATGTTCCCAGATCTATATTTGCAGCCCTCATCTCTTCCCCCAACTTTAGTCTCACATTGCCAACACCACACTGGAAAACTTTACCTAGATGATCAGTAGACATCTCAAACTCAACATGCCCAAAACATAATTGATTATCTTTCTGCAAAATCCACCCCTAAATTACCCAGGGTTATGTGATATATTGGAAAGAAGTTTGGCTCTGGAGTTACAGGACCTGAATTCAAATTATGCCTCAGAGGCTTACTACTTTTATGACTTTGAATATGTCAATTAATCACCAGGGCCCTCAGTTTCCTCAAGGGTAAAAAACAGGAGGTTGGACCAGCTTCTGGGGAGCTTTCCATCTCGCTCTAGGATTGATCCTATGAGCTATAAAATTTATGTTGGAGGAAAACCATTAGCTGCACTGCCATCTAGTGGTAACTCTACAGATTTAAAGAACACCATTCTCTTGCTCCAATTGTCTCAGCTGGAAAAATCTTTTGTAAATGCAATTACTTTTTACAGAAGCAATTAAGAGGGAGCAGTGTTTTCTTTAGATATTGGGCTATACCATAAAAGATTATGCTAAATTGAATATAATAAGAACTAAAAAAAAAATCCAAGGCAAACACTGGCTAGAAAGAAATGCTTAAAGTGAATGGCAGAGAAAGTAGAATGCAGGTTTTCTGTTTACATTCAATTAATAATGAATATTAACAATAATTACTAACTACATTAATTAATATATTTATAATTAATTGTAATTAGTAATAATTCTATTATTACAAGCTTTCGTGCTAGTACACTACTAAACCAACAAGTTTTAAAGGAAGAATGGTATGATGGAAAGTATGTCTGATTTGGAGTCATGAAGGACCTGGGCCCAAACCTTGCTTCTGATGCTTTTTGTATTGTGTGTCCCTAGACAAGTCACTTAACTGCTGGATCTGTTTCTTCACCTGTGAATGGAGCTAACTCACAAAAAGCCTATCAGATAATTTACATTTAATTTATGCAATCAGATAATTAGTGTAAATGATTTTGTAAACTTTAAAATGTTATAGAAATGTCAGCTATCAATCTGCATCTTGGGCACAGTAACCTAAAGCGATGGAAGGAAGGTAGAGTAGTCCAAGCCCCTTAAGCTGCCACTTGGTGGCTACCTCTATGGACTTGGACAAATACTTTTACTTCCTTGGACCTCAGTTTCCTCATCTATAAAATGGAGTAGATTCTAAATCACCTCTGAGGTCCCTTTCAGCTCTAAATTCTATGCCCCAACTTGCAAGTTGTAATTTGCAAGATGCTTTGCAGTAATAATCTAAATAATTATTAGTTGCTACGTTATTAGTCAGCTATTACATTTATCATGGGAATGAACAGAAAGAAGGATAAAACAAATTAGAAAAGAAAGGTCTTGAAAGGAGACCTGAACAGGGTCAAAGGCAAGTTTTGCCTACTTCATATTTTGGTTAGGGGAAAAGCAGACCCTGACATTCATCCTCCTTGGTCCTCATTTCCTCATCTGTAAAATGAGAGGGTTGGGCTAGACGTCCTCTGAGGTGTCTTTCCAACTCTATCTCTATGGTCCTTTCAGAAGATGTATAGGGAGAGGCACCTTGACATAATGAATAGCGAGCTGATTTCAGACTCAGGAAGACCCAGATTCAAGAGTCACTTCTAATATACACTGGTCATATGACCCTGTGCAATTCTGTACCATATTTTACAACTTATCATCAAAAGAGAGTTGCCTGGGACACTGAAAAGGTGGGATTTGCTTATGGTCACACACAGCTGGGTACATTTCAGGGGGAGGACTTAAACTAACCATAAACATATCTTGAGGGTCTTCTGGATTCCAAGATTCGCCGTCTATCCACAACACGATACTCCCACTCAATGGACATTAATAAAACTTTTTTTTTTTGGTGAGGCAATCAGGGTTAAGTGACTTGCCCAAGGTCACACAGCTAGTAATGTCAAGTGTCTGAGGCCAGATTTGAACTCAGACCCTCCTGATTCCAAGACTGGAGCTCTATTCACTGTACCACCTAGCTGCCCAATTAATAAAACATCTTACAAAGAGGCTTTTATTTTTGAGTCAGTCATCTGCATTAGATGATAATCAATAAAACCTGAGTCCCTTTCAGGCAACAACTATTCCATTTCTTTTGTCTGTATTCCCTAGTACAGTCTTTATGTCCCCAGTGTGCCTATGGCACATAGAGGACACTTATAAATGTTTTGAATAAATAATAATGATGCCAATGTATTAAAATTATACAATCAAGCATATTTTAAAATAATTTAGTAATTTAACCATTTTAGTGTTTTTGTTATTGTCCTCAAGCTATTTTTTCATTCATTTCGGTCATGTCTGACTCTTCTGGACCCCATTTGGGGTTTTCTTAACTTAGCAAAGATACTGGGGTAGTTTACCATTTCTTTCTCCAACTCATTTTATGGATGAGGAAACTGAGGCAAACAGGGTTAAGTGACTTGCCCAGGGTCACACAACTACTAAGTGTCTGAGATCCTATTTGAACGCAGGCCTGGCACTCTATCGACTGTGCCATCTAGCTGCCCACCTCAAACTATTAGCCTATGCTGTATTTCTCATTCCTTTCACAATCAAAATTTTAGAAAAAGCTGGCTACACTATCTACCTCCATTCTATTCTGAATCATTTTTAGTCCTTCTGCCATGTGGTTTCCAACTTCATCCTTCAACTAAAACTGCTCTCCCTAAAGTTACCAATGATCTCTTAACTGCCAAATCAAATGGCCATTTCTAAATCCCTATCATTCTTGACCCTTCTGAAGCACTGACAGTGTTGACCACCCTCTATCCTCCTGGATACTCAATCCTTTCTGAGTTGTCATGGCACTGATCTCCCTTGGGATTCCTCTTACCTCTCTGCTTGCTCCTTCTCAGTCTCCTCTGCAGGATCATTATCTACATCCTGCCCCACACTGTGGGTAAACTCAGAGATTCTACCCTGGTCCCCCCTTTCTTTTCTCATTATACTCTCTCTTTGTGACCTCATCAGCTTCTGAGAGTTCAATTATTACCTCTTTGCAGGTGATTCCCATATTCCATATTTATCTGAGCCTTACACCTTCTTTTGAGCTTCAGTTCTATATCAGTAACTGCCTACTGGAAATCTCCATGATTCTCTCCCCAGCATCTCTTGTATCAGTTCCCTTTTCTTTAACAACATAGCCACTGCCCCAGTAAGGCCCCTCATCACCTCTTGCCCGGACTATTGCACTAGCCTTCTAACTGGTCTCAAATCTCTTCCCTTTGTCAATCCATCCTTCACACAGCTGCCAAAGAGATATTCCTAAAGTGACCATGTCACTCCCCTGTTTCAGTACCTCCCTATTTCCCGAATAAAACTGTTCACAACCTGGCTCCAACCTAACTCCAATCTGATTAATAACCTAATTCTCCTTTATCCACTCTTCAGCCTAACCAAGATATTTCTCACACATAATATGCCATCTTCCATCTCTGGACCCGCAAAAACATAATACACCATCTTCCATCTCTGGACCTTTTCATAAACTGTCCATGTTCCCCCTCCTCACCTCAGCTTTTTAGAATCCCTAGTTTTTTTCAGAGCTCAACTTAAGTACTATCTTCTACATAGACCTTTCTTGATCTCCCACACACTAGTAAGTCCTACTTCCAAAATTGCCTCGCATTTATCTTGTATTTATTATGTATATACTTCTGTCTGCCCATGTTATCTCTTACGAGAGGATGTAAGCTCCTGAAGATATGGACTCTATTTTTTTCTTTGTATTCTAATGCCTGGCTCTCAGTAAGGGCTTAGTAAATGGTTTGTTTTTGTTTTTGGTTTTGTTTTTGTTTATGATTGGTAGTTCAAAGTAAGAGGAAGAAGGGACTATAACTATTTGAGAAATAAAAATTAATTTATTGATGCTATAGAAAACTGAACCATCTTACACCCCCTACTTCTTTTAGCATTTTGATTTTTACTTTCTCATGTCAGTACCAGAGAAATGTAGTTTTTTCCAAGGGAATTACTTTAAGAGGGCCAGTATAATAAATACAAATTAGTGTGTAGATTAAGAGGAAAACAGATTTGCTCACCACTGATAGTATGCTCAGCAGTGGCTAGCAAGCACTGAGTTAGAACTGAATAAATGGTATTTTGCAACGGTGCCTAGGGATCATTTTTATAATTAGAATTATCTGTTCTCACAAATGTGTTCATGAAATAAAGATATAAAATGTTGAATTGACAAGTATAACAAGGTCTAAGACATTATGTTCAACTTTGGCAACCAGCCGAGAAGAGATATTTTCGAAAAGAAAGCATTTTAGTAAAAACAGATTACTCTGTATTACTTGATCTTTACTTATTAAAACCTGCCTTTTCAGAAGAACTCACTCTGAGTCCTCCACAGGTGAGAATCTTTAGCAGCTTCCTGAAGCGTTCAATCTGTTTACAAGTCTTCCCTTATATGGAGACTGCAACTGCCCCTCTTCACCCCTGTTATGTTCAGCCTTTTTCCCCTAAAGGGATCTTGCTTCATGCAGACTCATGGGAACTGACCTGAACAACAGAAGAGTCAAACTTTTCCTTGCATTCTCTGGCTTCTTATTCTTTCACCCCAGAATAGAACTCTAAGGAACATCTCTCACACACAAAGCTTTGACTTGGCTCATGTCTTAGACTTCTCCAAAAGGGGTTAACACAGTCCTATCTACAAAAGTTACTCTGTGTCCCAAGATATCACCTATAGAACAGCTACTTACTTCCTTCACCACAAAATATTGAAAACACAAAAGACTGTTTAAGTATGTACTGGCAAATCCCTAAAATGTGAAACAGTAACTTATCAAAAAGGACTATGGTAGTCCATAGATAGATTCAGAAATACGCAAGGTGCTCAAAAAACTCAAGAAAATCCAATAAACAGATAATAAAGCACATGTTCCCCAACATCTCTATTATGCTATCCCAGAAAGTAAAGGCTCACAAAAGATTTGTAAGACTACTGAACAGAATTCACTTTCAACTCGGATACGCTGCCTAAGCAGAACCTCAAGGTCCAGATCTTCTGAACAACAGGGACACAGTTTGGATTTTCAGGTTCTAGCATGATCCCGAACATTACAATGGTCATTCCTTCTGCAAGAAACAGTGCAGTTGTAGAAAGTACCTCTTGCTGCCAGACAGGCACCTGGATTGCATAATTCCTGGTCTCTCAAGTTGACAAGGTAGCCATCGAGACTAGAACATGCATTCTGGTATTAATGTTTGGTCACCTATGCTCAGGGAATTAAATGCAGAGCCAATAAGACAGGTAAGGACTTGAGATCCAATGTTAGGCTTGCCTAGGCAAGGACATGTACTGACAGCCATGTGCATATAGCCACCATAACTGCCACTATAGAAGAGAAGGAGCAGAGAAATCCCCTCTCCTTCCCTTTCTAGAAGCTAAAGGGAGAGCAGAGTCCCTCCAAACACATGCAATAAGAGGGGAAGAAAGAGCAGAAGATATTTCTCCATTGAAGCCCAATGGTGGAGTCTTCATCTTGCTCAGTCACCAGTTGTCTGCATCACAGCCCTCATAATGGGGACCAATAAGAAGTTCTTCATTCCAAAGTGCAAATACTTCAATCCTGCATTCATGGCTCTTCCCAATAGTGGTAGAGTGTGTACTGTCCAGTATAATGGAAATGCACTGACACCTCGAGGGAGCCAGGTCTCTGAGGGTACAAGTGGATACAAAAAGTATGAGAAGAGGAACGAAGGGGAGTTTGCTCATTAATTGGATCTTCCCAAGGCATGCAGACAGGAAGCACTCAATGATTTTGATTAAGATATGAGAGCTAGAAATTCATAATAAATGTAAGTTATTTGATGAAATGGAACTCAATAGATAATAGCAGTTTGTATTTATAGCTTTATGATTACAAATCCATACACACACACACACACACACACACACACACACACACATATATATATATATGAATACTTTTTGACACTTGCAATATCATTCCTACTTCACAGATATGGAAACAAACTCAGAGAGGTTAAGTATGTTACCTAAGGTAACACAGCCATTAATTAACAGAGACAGCATTCAAACTCACTTAGTTTGTCTGACTCTCTTATTTGCTATTTTTCCCCTAACCCCACATTAATTCTCCAACAATCCATTAACAACAATAACAACTAGTATTTAAATAGTGCGTTAAGGTTTGCAAAGCACTTTTTAAACATGATCTCATTTGATCTTTCCAAGAGCTCTAAGAGGTGTTGTTCAGTCATTTTCCAGTCACGTCTAACTCTCCCTAACTCATTTGGGATTTTCTTGGCAAAGATACTGAAGTGGTTTGCGATTTCCTTCTCATTTTACAGATAGGGAAACTGAGGCAAGTAGGGTTAAGTGACTTGTCCACGGTCACACAGCTAGTAAGTGTCTGAGGTTAGATTTGAACTCAGGAAGATGAGTCTTTCAGACTCAAGGCCCAGCATTCTACCTATTGTGCCACCTAGCTGCATGTATTATTATCCCCATTCTATATATGAGGAAACTGAGTTAGGCAGAGATTAAGTGACTTGTTTGGTGTCACACAGCTAGTAAGTATCTGAGGGAGGATTTGAATTTCCTTAATTCATGTTCATAACTCCTTGTACCACCTCTCCATCTTGCAGTGATATGTCACAGATAAACCCTATGACCCCATTTTCCTTTTCCCTACTATCCTGCCTTTACTGTACGGTATAGTTTTGGTTTCTTTCAGCCCCCTTTTCTAAAAATTATTGATAGCTGAAGATTAAAAGGTTTAGTAGAAGAAAGTTTAAACAATTGATTTTTAAACGTTTGAGGATGTAGCCCATGAATTTTCTTCAATGATTCTACTCCTATATACAGTGGAAAGAGCACCACATCTGGAGTGAGAAGAGCCAGGTTCATTTCCCAATTCTGACCTTTACAATCTGCAGGGCCTTGAGCAATTTGCTTGCCTTTCGTGGGCCTCAGTTTCCTCAATTGTAAAATTAAGGTTTTGGAGTAGATGGCCTCTGAGGTCCCTTTCAACACTTTAGAACTAAAATCCTATGGTCTACCCCAGAGGTGTCAAACACCCTGACCTCCAACACTGCCAACGTGGCCTAAACCACATTAAAATGAAATTGGGAAATATGTAACAACATAAATAAAAATATAATACAACATGGATGATGTTAATGTATGGTTTTCTAAGTCAATCATCTTCCCACGGGATCTTTGGGTATGGTTTAGAGGCCTCCTTTTCTATTTGACTTTGATACCACTGCTCTAAGTCTAGTCATCTCATTTTATAGATGACAAACCAAGGCCAAGGAAGTCAGGCGACTGGCCCCAAATCACACAGATAAGCAAGTAGCAGAGCCTGGAATGGAACCCAAGTCTTCTGAATTCAAATCTGGCTCATTTTTCCACTCTCGCACTGGTTTCCCACATCACCTTCCACTAGATGTTTGACTTAACAAATGCATATTGAATGAATAGTTCTAATTGCCGCATTGATTTCTCAAGAGCCAGAACCAACAAACCTGTATTGCAAATTTGTCTAAACAGTTCATTTATTAGGTAATGGATTTTGTGAGCAATCTTTCAACTATATTTATGCTTCTGAATTCTTTGGTAGCAGCATCAGAGTACAATTTGCTTGTCCATCACAATCATGAAGTACATTCATGTTCAAACAAAGTCAGATTTGCAAATGATACAGCTAAAGCAGTCTAATTGGACTTAGCCCCTTTTTCCATGTGGGAAAGAGAAACATATACAAAAACCTAGGGCTCTGCTTATCTAGCTTACCTCTGACTCGCATAGTCCTAAGACTGCAATGGTAAGAGTACCTGGCTTTGAAATCAACAATGGTAAGAGGTCTGGCTCTGCCACTGTGGGACTTTGGGTAAGCCCCTTAAATCTTTTGGCATTCTATTTCCTGC